CCCGGCCCCAGCCCGGCCGCCATCGTGCCCGGCCCCGGCTCCGCGGCAGCCGCACAGGAGCCGAGCGGAGCCGCGCTCGGGCCGCTCCCGCCCGGGCAGAGTGTGGAAACGACTGCCTCCACTCCTAGTCCCTTCCTGCACTGCTGCCCTCCACACCGCGGAGCTCCCCGCTGCACCCCCACAAGCCTTGGATCATTCTTCCCAGGTCTTGGAACCTATTCTTGCCGGTTTTTTCTGCTGGGCTGAACAGCTGTCCTATGGACGATAGTGACATCGAACTATGTCCGCTGTGACTTCCACTTCAGAAGCATGAGAGGAACAGTGGGACATTGTGGTAGGGAGATGCTGGGGCTGCATAGACTCTCAGGAACAAAGCCTCCTTGTCATCCTTCCCACCCTTCCCAGGGTGGAAAATAATCCCAGAAACATAGGAGTCTGCATAACAAGAACTGATGTGAATCCACAACTTCCAGCTTTCCCCATATTTTCCTGCCTGTAGGCTTGTTGCCCTTGTGTGACTCACCTTCACGCCATGCTATGCTGCAGTCAGAGTCCTGTTGCTCCTTTGGCATACATCTGACTTGTAAACTAAAAGCTGAGGGTTGATGAAGAGAAATCAGTTCAATTTCCCAGGCAACCTTGATGTCTTTTCCTGTTGTTCTAGCCAGGACACAAGAAGGCATCCTCCATGTCCTGGCAGTATGGTGATGCCCAGTTAAGGCTTATTGCAGTTAAGGTTTCCTGGTGGGAAAACCTCATATGAGCAACAGGACCAGTGTGACTCCAGGAGTTCTCCTCATAGAATAGGCCAAGCTGAGTTCTGCTTGGCCTCTGAGATGCCTAAACCAACTGGCCTTTGAGTTTCCAACTCTACCAACCAAGGGGAAACTGTCTTCATGATCATTATCTTCATCTTTTTCTTCCATCAGTTTTCATTGTCTGATGATCTCAAGGCATTGTATTAAATTTACAGAACCTCTTGCCACATGGACTGCTACTGGTTCCTTAAGTATTTCATAGTTTTACTAGGCTTTCCTTAGCTTTTGTCTTCACTAGTATTTTACAAAGTAGCAGACTTCATGCTGGCTGGGGTGTAGGACGATCTCATCATTTAACCATGTGCAGCACAGAGAAAGTTACCCTGCCCAGTGCTGAAGGCATTAAGGTAAAAGCTGCTTTTGTCTTCTTTGGCAGCTCTGCAAAGAGGAGCAAGATGACCCAGTGGTCTGTGGTCCATTGGGGTCTTGTGTCAAGGGTTAGGGCTGGCCAGGAGCAGAGCAGAGACATGGATCCCCTGACTCTGCCCACAATTTGGTCAAGGCTTTGGACAGGACGTCCCAGAAGCACTGGATTCTGCAGTGTCAGCTCCCTGGAAGTGCAGGTAAGGATTGACACTGCAATTGCATGCTATGTCCAGATAATTATGTCCAGATTTCTTGAGGGATGTTTGTTTCTATATGAGGAAGTAAAAATTATGTTTCAGCTCATCTGCAGAGTCCCATGGTCCTGCCTGCCTGTAGTCCTGTAAAGTCACTGCTCTGAATTGCATAGATGGGGACTTGGAGAAAAAGAGGGAGGAGTTGGGATGGGAGAAGTTGGAAAGGCCAATATAAGAAGGAGAGGATAATTTCAGGCATGAAAGCACAGCCGAGGCTGGAGGATGTAGGGCCTCACCCCTCCTGTGCTGTTGGTGACACAGATTTTGTACGAACGGAAATTTAGTTTAGCTCAAGGTGGTGCCTCAGAGCACAGTAGTAAATCGCAGTGTCCTGAAGGGAGACTCTTGCTATTTCTAAGGGGGCTGATTTATTTTTGTAGACCATCATAGAGAATCGGCCATTGCGGTACTTGTCATTCTCCCTATGTGCTTGCAGGAGAAATGTCACAGTTCTTCCCGGGGGATGGCGGTACCAGAAGAAGTTCAAATTGATGAGACTCTCTTTAGTGGTGGGCTGGCAAGGAAGAACCACTTGCTGTCCGACTTTGACTAGCACCTCAGAGAAGAATTGCTTCAGGAGATCACCTCCAACAAGACCTGCAACACAGGCATAAACGTGTCTGCAGAGAAGTTTGCTTCCTTTTCTCACTTGCTCTGTGTTTGAGATACCCTCATCTTTGCTGTCTTTCCAAAGAAATGGAAAGTTCATATATCTACATTAATCCCCCTTCTACATTTCTCCTTGACCTGATCCTCTTGTTTGCAGACACCTCCAAATAACTTACTAAAAACCATGAGAGACAACGGGAAGGACATAAATACACCTACCTGACTGGATTAGCAGGACACATGCTGGCACAGCCATGGTGAAGATCATTTTTCCCAGCTCAAGAAACCTTTTCCTTGGCGAGACTCTCAGCACACAGCAGAACGCTCTTGGTAGCACAATGAAAGAGAGAGTGCAGTGCAGATGTGACACAGTCACGTCTCTGTGGTGTGGAGGGCTGGAATGAGGCCCTTACACCTTTTGCCTTTTCTTGTCTCCAGAGCAGTGAGTGGACAGTCTCAGTGGCTTCCTGTAGATTTCCTTGGGCTTCCTTCTCTGTTCATAACGTTTACTGTGCGAGGTAACATCTCTGCCTCGCTGCAGAGTGTGTCTGCTTTTGTGTGCTCCTTGGTGGTGGGCGGGTTCTGAAAGCACAGCAGCTCCTCAGCATCCTCAAAGCATTCAGGGCTCTGGGAAACACAGGTGTCATGTTCTTTTCAAAGAGTTTTGGGTTTCTCTTAGTTTAGCCTCTGATATTTTGGAAACAGCTGTTCAGTGCTTCTCCACACATGACAACTCAGGAGACAAGGGAGAAAGTTTATTGGTGGGGAAAAGGTATTTTAATGAGTGGGCATAGTGCTGGCTTAGCGCTGGCTGGGGGAGAGCAAACTGAGGGCATAGTGAGGAGGAGGAATCTGCAGGCCCAACCACAGTGCATTTCTATTGAAGCTTTCCAGCCACTGTTGGGCACAGCGAAAAGGAAAGGTACTGAGATAGGGACAGAGACAGGAGGCAAAACCCTGGTGTGTGAATCTGATCAGCAGAAAAGTGCCAAAGAGCAGCTCTCGAGCAGCATCTGTCTCCCTCTCCAGCCTCCTGTCATATCCTGAGCTTTTGTTCTTTCTCATTTTGGTGCATACTCTGGTATGCTACAATAGAGAGAGAGATCTCCACTGCTGGGTATCTGATTCTGCAGGAAAGTACTTTTTATCAGCCAAGGCTGCAAGGTGATTGTGGCTCAGTAAATCAAAGACCCTCAGCTGAAATCTGCCCAGGTGGTGAACATCCCCTGGCCAAAGCAGCCACTGTTCTTTGAGGACAAAGCGATGCCCAGAAAGTACCCGGGCTCTCACTGGTCCCTGATGACCCATAGGACCAGTGATTTCTGTGCAAGGTGCAGATGTTTGTGCCAGGCTGCCCAGGCAATGTGAGCACTTTGAAAGGTACAGTGGGAAGGAGCTGGTTTGGTGGTGTGCCTGTGGGAGAGCAGTAAGGTACTCATGCTTTCCTCTTTGGACACAAGAGCAATATCCTGCACCAAGGGAGGAATAACCCCGTGTACCAGTATGTGCTGGGAACTGCCCAGTTGTTAAGCAGATTTGCAGAAAACAGCCTGGGGGGGTGGGTTCTGCTAATACCATGCTGACAACGAGCCAGAAATGCTCCCTTGCCTCAAAGAAGGAACTCATAAGGCAAAGCCTATCCTTCTGTACTCCCTAGCACTTGGGACAACAGCTGTGTCTTGTGCTGGTGAGGAATAGAGACAAGACTTCCTGCTATGGAGATGCACTCCAAATACTCTCACACCGAATTAAGCTAAGAATCCAAACTGTTATGAAGACATCCTTGTTGGGGCCTGAAATCGGCAAGAAAACTGAGCTTTGCAGGTGCAGAATAGAGATGGCTGAAGATACAGAAGGTTGCATTTCAGCGCCTCTGCTGTGGGCAGATCTCTGCCAGGTTTGATCTGTTGCTGTTCAGCTGCACTGAATCTCCTTCTGGTCCTGGCTGCTTTGTGGAGCTTGTGGGCAGAGCAGCAGAGGGAGTCCCTGCTGTGAGCAGCACATTCCCATGTGAGGAGGGACACACAAGCACACACATGCTCATGAGACTCATGTCACTCATGCCCACTTGCAGGAATCTAGCATGCAGAGAAGTCCAGACAAGAGAACACATGCAGAAACGTGGCAAACTGTGCACTCAGCTGAAGATGCCCTGGAGGTAGCCCCATCAGGGATGCTGGAGCATCCTGGGCAAAGCCCTGGATGGACAAATTGTGTTGTTTGAAGACTGCACAGAGGGGAGGTGAACTGGGAGCTTTGAACAAAATATTGTATTCAAGGAATCAGTGATCATGGGCAATACATGTCTGCTCTGATGGGCTTTGCAATGAAGACTTGGGAAGCCCCTACAGTGTCCTGTGCCAGCCTGTGTGTGGGTGTCATGGCAGAAATAACCTACAGCATGTAAGGAGAAAATATATGATTGTTTGTGGTTTTTGTTATACAAAATATAAGGCATCAGGGTGTGGGAGGGAAGAAGAAGCTCCTTTTGGTTGGGGTCTGTGAGAGTGTCTTTGGAAAATCCACCAGGGTCTGTATAATGCCCTATGAATGCAGGATTCCTAGCATCTAAAAGAATGCAAGGTTTAATTCCTATCTATACTCCTGTGTTTATTCTGTGTTACTAATACAGCCCCTTTATAATGACATTTGCAACCAGACTTTTTTTTCTGAGATCAGAGAGGGACCCTGCACCCCTTCTTTCCCCATGACACCTCCCTGATACAGAAGAGGAATGGACAAAACAAGCCAGCAGAATTTTTCTGATACAGAGTTAGGTGGGATACGGTCAAACCCAGAAACCAGCCACTTCTGACCAACAGGGCCATTAAGACGCCAAAGGAGTGGCCCAGACTGACATAATTTGCCTTTTCTGGACTTGTCCAGCAGGTGATCTGAGTCCTCTGCCCACACTGGTGTGTTTTGATCCAGAAATGCTTGGGCCTCTCATCCTGTCACATTAAAAAAAAAAAAAAAAAAAAAAAAAAAAAAAAAAAAAAAAAAGTCTTCATACAAGAAGCCAAACCCCAGTCCATGATATCAGCTGGAATGTTTTGCATTCAAGATGAATTTGTCAGAAAATTATCACCTCCACAAGGGATACCTCTGGCAGCCTAGGGAAGTAATGGTCTATGATAAAAACCAGCCCAGGTCTTTGTTCTCTCATCTGCTTCTCTTGCCTCCTTCTCCTTGGGAGTCAGGTGAGTCTGAAACCCTGTCATAGTTTTGATTTTCCAATTTAAATATACTCATTTTCTGTTGTGAGACAGGAGCAGAAGCCAGGCAGGCCTAAAACCTAAGAAGGTATAAAAAGAAATGTATTAACTGCACAAAGTGGGAAAAAAACCCATTCAGAATAAGATTTTCAGACCACTCCTTCCTTCCCTCTCCCAACCTTTGTAACAACAAAACAAACGTACAAAAATTACTTTGGTCAGTTCCCAACTCAAACAGTCCTTTTTCAGTTCACTTTCAGAGAGAGAAGCCTCCTCTTGTTATGCTATAGGGATTTTTTTTCCACAAAAAGGAAGAAAACAGTCCTCTTGTGGTTTCATTTTCACGATTTGCATCCACCCAGAGCCCTGCAATCCTCCCAACTCCACAGCCTTCCCAGAGCTGTGCTTGTGGGCCATGTCGGATTCATGGGGCATTACTTTTAAGAATGAAATGTTCCAAAGCAAAGATTCTCTTCATCTCTTTTCTCTCTGATCATGCTTCATCCTCAGAAAACCGAGATCCCCTTCTTTCCTCGGTGCAAAGATTCTCAACACAGGTGCTTTTTGGTCAAATGATCCATCAAATGGAACATCTCCAACCCCTCATGTCTTTCTCCATGGTTTATAGGAATATTCATTACATCAGTTCATCCCTACAATCTTACAAAAGGATTTTCAGTCATCTGGACAGCATCTCCTCCTTCTCCTTCCATTTAAAAAACTTAGCTCTTGCTTCACTGACTTCAGACTATCTCCTTTTTCCCTTTCACTCCGGGAAGGATTGGAAAGCCTGTAAATCCTATCTGAGCATTGAAAGAGTTAAGATTTTGAACAGGGAAAAGAAAAAAAAAAACCAAGGCTACAATACTGGAGCTTTTCCCAGATCTCCGAAACTGGCTACGCTGAAAGGGAGGATGGGGAGGGAAAAAAAGTGGCTGGGATCTTAAATCAGCCTGAGTTTTTCCGGCCACCGTCCATGGCCAGCCCTCCTCTCTGCCGGGCCATGCCAGTCCCCACACAGGGGCCGGGCCCTGCCCCTGCCAGGCCCGCAGGCCTGCACTGGGACCAGGCCGGGGCCTGTTACCGGCACTGCCGCTGGAAGGACAAAGAGCCTCAGTTCCGGATTACCTCCTTCAAAATGTGCCTTCATGGAGCGAACAAATTTTCTCCAGTTGGCTGTTGAAGCTGTCCCAACCCCCACAGAGGAAGCCCCCTTAGAGAGAACTTCTCTCTGAGTTTCTTCTTCCCAGGTAAAACCAGCACAAACCCTTTCTCCTTCTCTGCTTTCTCTAATAGGAGATCTTACCTCAATGGACTTCTCAGCTGAGACCAGCTTTTTCCTGTGACATGAGGTTTCTTGTCATTATGATGCCTTGGGTTATAGCTTTTATATTTTTCAGATTCTCTGCTGCTTGGTGTGTAACTCTGAAACTTCATATCAGGTGTTAGTAAGTTCTCTCACAGGGTAGTTAGACAAAACAATTCCTTTTTAGCTAGAAAATCAAGGAAAACTGGTATCAAAAAATCAGAAACGATGGGAAAGGAAGAGGGCAAGCCAGGAGTTTGAGGCTTCATAGCCTGGGGTTATTGGGGAAATTGACCCCAATATGTAGAAGAACCAAAAGATACAAAAGTGTAAAAA